TTTTTTTTTTTAAGCAGGAGTCTTGGTAAAAAAAATTTCCAGCAAATACTTTGTTAACTGAAACTCAAACTAACCTGTGTATATTTCATAAAACTTTTTCAAATTTCTGTTTTCCTTTTCTCTGTAACCTTCAAATTTTTAATAAAACTTCTACACTGTCATATCCTGTTTGCATACCACTGCTCTCTCTTTACCTGAAAGAAAGTTCTGAAGTGTTGCAATATAACCATCCCAGGAGGACTGCTGAGAAATATTATAATAAATTTCCAATCCTTTTTCTCCGTATACATCTGGTCGTAATGTCACTCCTTTAGTGATAAATCAAAAATAAAAGAATAAAAATACAAAATATACAGCTTGTTTATCAAGTCTTTTTTTTACAAAATCAAGTGTGGAGTAAAATTTAAATGCAAAATATGTTTCTAGCAATGTAGTCTTTAGATGTCCAGAAATATATAGTCCCAAATTACATTTGTTCTTCTGTCAACTGATGGGGTTTTTTTGTTTGTTTAAAGCAGTCTTGTAGAATGCAAGGTTCAGTTAATAAAAATGCCCATTGATTATTTAAACATGCAGACTTTATCCATCACTAGATGTAATACCATTATGTTTCATTTTCATTTAAGTTCATTCTTTGCGATGTTTTTTAATGCAAAACAACTTATACATATAAAGTGGTACAACGCAGCTTTTTGCTTGCTGTTTTTCTTCTTGTACTTAAGCTGTTGGTTTTATTGTTCTGTAGTGTGATAGATTTATTCCTGTTATATACCATAATTGTCCTAGGATGAAAAGTGAACTAAAAATACTTTTGGTAAACAGTATTTATACAACAAATCTCAATGCATTTGATAGGTCTTTTCCCCTTATATGCATGTCTACTCAGAAGTAAAATTATTTGAGATCAAGCTGGGTTTATAGAGTATAGGTTATTCTTTTAACCAACAGTTCATAATGATTTGAAGAGCAGTTTTGAATTTCTGTGTTCTACTTCTGTCTCATAGTATTTTATCCCATAAATTTAGATGATACGTTTACCTTATCCATCAAATAATTGTGGGTCATATAGGTTTAATAACAAAATGGGAAACAATGTAAAAATACCTGGTGATTTTAATTGATCTTGATAATCCGGTGTATATGGATTAAGTGTCCTCATTAAAGAATAGATAGCAAGTGAGAATAGCCCAGTCATTACCACATAGAATGCAACATAGTAAAGACTAATCCATACTGTAAGAAAACAATAAAAAATAGATTTTAAAAAATAAAAGGATGTCTGTTAATCTGGCTCAATTTAATTCAAACAAATTACTGCATGTCATCAGATGTTGAAATTGTAGTTCAAATTGTATTATGTTCAAAATGCGCTCAGCACTGGAATTCCTGCAATTAAATAATGAGTGGAGTGGGAAGGAGAAGGATATGGAGGCTAGAACATCAGTGCTACTTGCTTTCTAGACTTGGGATGACCAAATGCACTCCTTTGTTACCAAAACCATGCTGTACAACTAAAAGTAGAGTTCAATTCCTTTCAGCTCTAAATTTTGAAAATCTCCAAACTGATTCCAAGCTATAGTTCTGGCAGAGGGTATTAGTTAATCCTTACTCTGAAAAATACACATTTTAAAATGTGACAACTATTGAATTCTAAAGGGGGGAAAGAGAAATTCTATAAGTAACTAGAGCTGGATTAAAGTTTATGTATACAGACTGGTGCATTATCAAATAGTGCTCAGTAACCTGCTGAGAATTCTCAAGACCAGTTAAGTTTCTTCTTCAGGAATTGTATATTGGTGAATAAAAAAGGAATTAGATTCTTTGGAAGTCAAAGGACAGCTCTAAGCAACTAGAAGCACCAAGAAAAATATGTTAGTACTATGCAGATAGCAAACTACATTTGAGATTTTCATAAAGAGGTCTGCCATTCCAAATCAGAAATAGTCTCAGCCAGCTGTCCCCTACATACACACTCTCACACCTTGCATTCCTAGAACCTGTTTCCAAATTAAGACCAAAGAGAAAAATGTTGACATGTTTCTTTTTCTGTTTTCTGGGCCCTTTTAGAGTAATGTTTTATTCTGCTCACAATTTACAAAGCCAGTTGTCTCATCTCCAAGGAAGCAGCCCTGTGGTTTCTGGGGATATTTGCAGCCATAAACTGTGTTGGAGTTTTCTGTCTGAGATGAACAGAAATCTAAGCCTGGGAATTTCTGAAATGACTGAAAGGGCAAGCTGGAAACCAAGTAGGGTAAAGCTGAGGATACAGTGGGTCCTAAGCCTTATCCAATCCTTGGCCTTTGCTACAGAAGGCATTTGAAAACATTTATAATCAAATTAGATTTTAAAGTTTTCAAATGTTTTTCTTTTTGAATGAATGCATTTAAAAAGAAATAGAAGAGCTGTGAAAGCCAGTCTGGTTGAGAAGGCATTTGGAATCATTTCAATTCTATTGCTCTATATAAGTAATTTATATTAACTTGAATGCTAGCATGGTTCTCAAAATTATTTTTAATTTCTAGCTCCTCCAAATATTTGGGGAACTGACTTCAGTGTTCTGTAAAGCAGCTTTCAGTCCTCATTACTGATCTTAAAACAAGTTCCAGAAATTCTAAAATCATACTTCTTTTAATGTTTGTTAACACATACCCCAATTAATCAAAGTTCTTCCCATTAACTGTCCTGTGTCTGGATTCCATAAAAAACGTTGGAAATTTTCCATTCTTTGGCTACAGGTCTTCTTTTCATTTAAAGTTGCCATTTTCCACCTTGAGATCTAGGAGCTGCAGAAACCAAGCTCTTCTACTGGTGCCCAAGGATTTGGCAAGATATCTATTTTGGTTTTATACCCTTTTTCTCTGAAGGTCATACAGATTATATCCATCACCAGCAAAAGCTGATAACAGCATATACCTGCCCACAATCTTTTTTTTTTAAGGTAACTTGATAAGCAAAATTTTTTGATTGGTTAACAGAAAGCTAATAGCCATCAAATGTTCTTTTCTCTTGATGTTACTTATTTTTCAGAACTTGTGATACCTTCAACACAATAGGTGTTATCAAAGCAGATACAATATTAACAACGTCTCTGGATAAGCTGCAGACATTGTATCTACGTAGTTTTATAGTGTTTCTGTCAACACTCTTGTTCAAGTGGAGATTTCTGTGGAACACTCCAATTACAATTCATAGCTTCCTAGAAGCAGACAAGTTGTATTTGATTCTTAGGTAAAGCGATTGAACAACTGATATTGTCCTCTGCTGATTCTGTTTCTTCAGCCACAGTAAGTGCTGTTAAAGCCAAAAATATGAATGTGTCTGAAGAACTGGAGAATAGCAACCTAAAACAAGTAAAACTCTAATATTAAATCTTATTACTGCTTGCTATATTCAATAGCACTTAACTTTGATTAGACATACATATATAGCATTGCACTTAAAATCTTATTTAAATGTATTTTTGATGAGCAATTGAGTAGAACGTGGTAAGCACACATATCAAAGCTAAAATTGTTTAAAATGAATATATATTCAAAATCACTGCAAGCCAGCATGGTGCAGTGGGTAAGGTGCTAGACTGGATGTGGGAAAACTCAGGTTCTAGTCCTCCTTAGGCACAGAATCCAGCTGGGTGACCTTGGGCCAGTCAAAACAGCATCAGCTTGTGGCAAGCCAGCTGTAGAGCACACCCCTTGTCATGTCATGCATTGATGTCTTTGCCCTGTGAACTAGACGTAGCACAGTACCAACAAGTAGGTCTTGAACTGAGGGGACAAATGCTAGGAAAAAAACATTTATTCAAAAAAAACTTTTTTTCCAGGGTGGTCGAGTATGACTACAATTCACATGTTTGGAGGAGAGAGTAGTAGGATCTTTCAGGCATGTGGGCCAGACTAGGAGTTGGGGATGGGGTGGGGAACATCCTGGAAGAAAAGTTTGGCAGGTTACTTCCATCTTTCTGGCAAGAAAGCAACATGGTCATGACCATGTAATCTAGCTCAACTTGAACTGAGGGGACAAATGCTAGGAAAAAAACATTTATTCAAAAAAAACTTTTTTTCCAGGGTGGTCGAGTATGACTACAATTCACATGTTTGGAGGAGAGAGTAGTAGGATCTTTCAGGCATGTGGGCCAGACTAGGAGTTGGGGATGGGGTGGGGAACATCCTGGAAGAAAAGTTTGGCAGGTTACTTCCATCTTTCTGGCAAGAAAGCAACATGGTCATGACCATGTAATCTAGCTCAACCTGATGGCAACTTAGAATTTCTGATGGTCAGGGCTCATGCCTAGTGGACACAAACGACAACCATTTCCTGTGTCTGAAGCATGGTGCTTATGAACTAGTCAGACATATCTACTAAATACTGTTCCATTCTTAACAAGTCAAAATTATTCCTTCTCTTACAATACGTACTGTGATTCTTTAAAATTTCATTGCTTTAATTAGAGTATTCCTCCCATTCCATTATAAAGGTTATGTAAGGTAGGGGTGGTCATCCGTTTGATGGCCAAGAAACAACCGTAATATTTGAGATGAAAGCTGGAAAGTGAATACAGCCCCCTATCACATGTGAGTGAGAATGGAGTTTTCTGAAGGGAATTGGGAGTGTATTTTTACAACGTTCCCATTTCCCACTTCAAATGGCTGGAAACCATGCAGTCAGTTTTTTGTAATGGCCAAAGAGGACCCTCGGGTTTTCTAGGGTCTTTTGCAGCCCTGGAGCTGTAAGTTGCCTGTCCCTGATTTAAGTAGAATGAAAGACAAAACGCCTCCAGCACCATTTTATCAGAATGGAAATGCATTTGTCATGGCCATTTTTATTCCGGTATCATACTGTGTTATGTTTAGAAAAAGCCAAATATTCTGGGTATTTTATTTATTTATTTATTTATTTATTTAAAAGACTTACGTAGCCACCCATATTATGAACCACAACCCTGGGCAGCTCACACACACACACAAAAAACATAAAATATCCTGACAACCATAATAAAAACTCTGGGATTCCTGGACAAGATAGAGTGTGTTAAGTTCTCTATTTTTATTGAAGTTCGATTTTCAGAACTCTTCTGTACGTTTCATGTCTGTGTTTAGTGAGGTACATTGTATGCTATATTGTACTTTAATCCTGTAGTTATGATTGCTTCCTGTGATAGCGAAGTCATTAAAAATACCCGTGGAGTAGTCTTATACTGGTCCACAGGAGATATCTGCATATATGTTAGTTCAGTGTTTTTTCATAGTCAAAATAATTTGAAATATGTATATTCATTGTGTTTCTTTTACTTGTCCTTGGTATTTTCAAATATTACAGCCTGTAGCCAAAATAGATAGTCTCACTAATTCAGTACTGCAGCTTCAACCCAAATCCCTAATTTCATTTTTTTTTTTTTTTGTCTCTTATGTAAGATTGTTATATCAGCGGCTTACTTAAGAAATATCTAGCTATGCATGTACAAGGAATTTTTCATTGGCCCTTGGGAGATGTTTTCCATGTAATATTTCTTTGTTGTACTTTGTATGGTATCTGAACACGCTGATTACTTTTCATTTGTTGCCCTTGACTTCACTAGTGACACAAAGGACAGCCAAACTTCCATGTGAAGGTTACCGGAGAAATTGTATGAGAAAGTATTAAAAATGAAGATAACTAGTTCCAAATACACTAGTTCAATCTTGGTTTCATTTAGTGCTGCAGACCGAGAACATGGACTCAGCTTAAGGGCATTGTTACATGCTTAGAAGTTTCAGGATTCTGCTTTATTGTACTGTTAACTTAGTCAGATATACCCACTGTGACAGAAGTGGTTTATACCTCTTAAAAGCCATGGCTTGTAATATAAACAATATACGTCTAGGTTCACACATTGCATTAAGCCACAAGCCATGATTAAATTGCAGTGGCTCGGTTTGTACAACATTCTAAACCAAAACAAATGGAGAGTTTTTTTTAACTCTATTCCAAATCTCACCTGAAATATCACCACCTTTTTTTTTTTAACCAATTCTCATATAATTTTGCTAGAATATAGCAATTAAAAATTTGGGAAAAGTGAGAAAAATCTCACAAAGCTTAAGCAATGCTTTGGAAAGTTAGAAAAGCCCTTCTCTCCATGTAGCCTGCCTACAAGTGGCTGACAGATGGGGTTGCTCATGAGGGGGCCTGACTTCAATCCGGAGAAAAAAATGGCTGGAGCTTCAGTGGCATTTATCGTTCAAATTTGCTGCATTACAGTAGGATACCAGGTTCTGTATGGCCAACATTCAGGAGCTGAAGATCCCCACTTTAATAAAGCCTTCTCATCTAGCACCTCACCACTTACATTTCTCTTTCAAAGGCCAGGTCCATCATGGTAACCTAAAGCAAACCAGACTAAAAGGTGGTGTGAAGATTTCTTTGGTATGTGAGTTTCTTTGGCGTCAAGTGGTATGGTCAGCCGAGAGGGAAGCCATAGTACCTACTTGCAAAACACCTCCTGGGAGATTTTGCTACTGGATTTGGGACACCAAATAAAGGCATTTCTATGGCTGCTGTGGGTCTTCCGGGCTGTGTGGCCGTGTTCTGGAAGTTTTGTTTCCTAACGTTTCGCCAGCACCTGTGACCGGCATCTTCAGAGGGCAGGAGCACAGACAGGAGCAGTTCTGTCTGTGACCCTGCACACTGCTCCTGTCTGT